CTCTCTCTCTCTCTCTCTCTCTCTCTCTCTCTCTCTCTCTCTCTCTCTTTATTTTCCACGCAGTTATCTTCCGCGATCGTCGCCAAGTCCCGTCGATCTCCCGACGAGAATATCGATATTTCCGAAACGACGGACTCTCAACTCGCTTAAGGAGATATTTTCGTCAAGATTTGCCTCTCACCGAGTTCGAAATATCGGTGCAAACAGCGACGCGCTGCGCCTTACTGTAAAACGAGAACTCGTTCACATTCTCGCGAGATCGCCAACAACGCGGATCGGGGAGGAATAGATCGCGAGGGATGCAGTGAAGGGAAAAATGGCCGACACTTCGTTTCGAAATAAAACGACAAATTGTTCCCGCTGAGTGAGAAACGCGGCACGACGCCAGTGTCCTTATGGCGGCGTTCCCGTTGCTTATGCTGAATCTTTACCAAGCTGAAAAGATAGAGAAGAAGTATGAGCTACAACGAGAGGACCTATTCCATCTGATGCTGATTCATAGCGGTTAGGCGTGCTCTGCATTATTCAGAGAGCACACCTGACCGTAGTATAACGTAGCGCGGCTTTAAATATGGCTGCACCACTTTTGACTGTCAAAGCGGATAATGCGGCACGCGTGGTGGTATACTATTCTCTCTCTTTCTCTCTCTTTCCTTCTTCCTTCCTCTTTCTCTCCTTTTTTCTACCTCTTCCTTCCCCCTCCTCTCTCTCTTTCTCTCTCTCTTTCGACTACATCGATTGTTCGCGAAAATTGCGAATAAAATGGAATGCGCCGCGCAGAGAAAAACGAGACGAATTTGTGACTAACGTAAAGGCCCGTCTATATAGGACGCAACACGCAAAATGCAATTCGCAAGCTTGTTGCGACAGTCAATCAGAAGCGTCAATGGTCAGCACTGACGCTTCTGATTGGCTGTCGCAACAAGCTTGCGAATTGCATTTTGCGTGTTGCGTCCTATATAGACGGACTTTTACTCTGTTTTTGACGGAAGCGCACAATTCTGCGAACTGCGTGTTTCCGTCAAGACCCTTAATAACAGAACTACGAGTTGCGACAAGAGGAGGGGACAAATGATTTCTGCAAGATCAATGTTTTATCACTTCTCGCGGTGTTAATCGCGCGTGCGCGGTGGAAGATAAAAGATCGGAGGAGACCGCGCGAGACGGAGTGAGACTCTCGAAATGAGAATACAAGCGACCAACTGTTCGAGTTTAACTTGCAAAGTTCATCGGGAAGCGCTCATTAAAAGGCGCGGACGAGTCTCTTTTTCTTTCTTCTTTTTTTTTTGGCAAATGCCTCGGGAATCAATTAAAAAGACAAAATAACAAAGAGAAAGGGGACCACGGGGTGCGCGGCGGACGGAAGAGAAAAAGCAAAACCCGCGAGAGAAACAATCTCGGAATAAAGATCGAGCAAGGGCGACGGGCGGGTTGAGAGAGGAGAGGGTGCGGGGACGCTTTCATTTAAATTCGGACGCGCGGAGTTCGTTCTTGCGAACGAACGCGGAAGCTGTTATACAGCGGCGTGCGCGACGCCACCAGCGTATCCCGTTATTTCGACTATTTCCGGTCCTTCCGCGATATGTAGTCTCCGCGGTATACGCCCGTGTTTTTTTTCTGCCTGTCTCCGATTTTTCGCTGGCGGCCGCCGCGATACGCTTGATTTCCTCGGATTTTTCTCAACGCGCGACATCACGCGGAGTCACGGTCCTATTTTTTCGGCGAACTGTCTGCGCGCGAAATGAGTTCCCAAACTTCCGCCCGACGACAAAGACACGTAGTGTTTTATGCAAATACACGCACACACGCACGCACGCACACGTACATGCACGTGCAGCGGGTCTGACGCTAAGTGAACCCCGGACCAAGTGAGTCTCGTGTACATGCAGATTCGGTCAAACTGAACACAACATTCTTCCAACGCTTTGCGAACAACCACGTAAAGTTTGAAAATTTTATTGATTCCAGAAGATTCTCAAATTCAAATTCTCCTTGGTTTCAAATTCTGTTAATTAACCCTTGGAGCACAATAGTTTCACCGTGAGACCACCTATATATACTGTCAAGTCTCACAATTTTTCAAAATATTTCATAATTTATAATAAAAGAATCTATATGTTGTTTTATCTTATACCTCCTATAAAATAAATAGATAACGGCCTGAAAAAGGAGCATGAGATAAAGATCAAAGAACGATTATAGAAATGGAAATATTTTGTTGTAAAAATTGAAAATATTTATTTGAAAATAAATAATCTTTTGGACTGTCGTTTTAAACATGTGACGTGAATATCTTATTAGAGTTCGAATTTTGTAATTCCTGTGCTTCAAAGGGAAGAGCGACAAATGATTGCGGCAGATGAGTCGTGACTGCGACGCCTGCCGTCGTGTGATTGTAAATTAGGCTAATTAACTTATACCATTTTGCAAATAACCACGTGAACTTTCCAGTTACCAATTAAAGAAGATTGGTGCGTTATCGCGCTCAATGTCATCCGCCGATTTTTAATCAATACCTCAGAACCTCACGTGGTCGTTTGCAAGATGGTATTTTGTCTTCAGCTTGACTTAATTTACATGAGGTATGGATCAGACATATAGGGTCAAATATCCTGCGTATACACACACAACCTCCCTTTTCCGTAAACACGATAAAACGCACATCGCCGATATCGGCTGTTGCTTCTTCAAACAATTGCCAACAAATATTGCATAAAAAAATATTTCCACTTTAAATATTTTCTTTTGCGGCGTAAAAAGAAACTGTCAGACACGACCGATAAAGGAATGGGACTGGTTTGCATCCGATGTCGTTGCGCGGAAATGTAACGGGCGGGCATCTCCGTTATATAATATTTGATTTACATCAGAGATATAATGTCGGGAAAAAAATTGTCTCGTCTCAGGAAAAAATATTTGAGTCTCTCGTGCGAAAAAAAAGAACGTAATATATGTACATATATTATTTATTTATATGTAACGCGTGCAACTTTTTCTACCTGAAAATAATGCGTGTGCTCGCGACGCACGAAACCACACATATCCACACGCTCATCTCAGCTCTCTTTCTCACTCGGGAACACGCAACGCCGCGTGTATATATTCCGGCGACAACAAAATCGGCAAATCTCTCTCTCGGCACACGTATCTAGACATTTTCCATTCGTACGCGAATTCGACCTCGTTGCCCCATATAAAGAGATATCCGTCGTCGTTACGAATACCGACGGTTCTCCTCTTCCACCATCTCGCGGGCGCTGCTGCGCGCCTGTGGCCAAGGAACGACCCGATTTTTTAAGCGCCCCTTGACGAATGGCGGATTCCGCATGGGGCTGCACGCCGAGATTTCGGATGCCGGGCACGACGAGTCTGGCTCGTCCATTCTTCTCTCGAGGACGACACGGCTCCTTCCTCGCCCGTCTTTTTCCTCCTCTTAGGCCCCGGAGCGACGTAGTAAGAACCATCTGTCTCATTTGTTTCAGGTTCTGCCGCCCTGGAAGGCCGCCAAGTCCGGAAGTATATCCTTCAAAATCCGTACGAATGAGCAGAACGGACTGATCATGTACAGCCGCAGCGGGGCGCACACGAGGGTATGTGTCGTTCACGAGATTTTTTTTTAATTACATATTTCCTCGCGGACTCGTATCTCCCGGAAGTTTTGAGATGCGGGCTTTATACGGGCCTGCCGCTCTATTTTCGCCTCTCTTTCTCCCTTACACATGTCACGATGCGGCCAAAACGCCCTTGAGTTATTTTAAGGGTCATTTTAAGGGGTCACTTTAAAGGTCGATTTTTCTAATCTTTCTTTCTTAAGGATATGTATATATATATATATAT